GTTGCACATGGACAGAGTATCAGAATCTACTTAAACTTGCTAAAATCTATATTTTATCACAGATAACTATATATCACTGTCTCAAGAACTTTATTATTAGATCATTAAGTGTTGTATCTAACAACAAGATTTATACCTGGGTTTAAAACAAAATATGTGAGTAAATAGAAAAAAATAACAATATTTTATTAATAACAAGATCTCTGAAAATATATATTATACTGTGTACTCAGCCTAGTAATTTAAGTGTGTTTTATATAAGAATTCATAGTACTTTCTTATTAGGGGAACTAAAAATTAATTTGCTTCATAACTCCTTTCTCTTCCATATTGAAAAATAGAAAAGTGGGAAAGCAGTTACCATGGCTATTAAAAGAAAGTGGGATTTGCGTTTCAATTTGGTAAAATAATTTATGCAATTAAGTAGTGAGGTTTAATGGAGACCACATAGGTTTAGGAGCCAGACATGCCAATTCTGCTTTTGTCACTAATTACTCTGTACTGAGGGAGAGTTCATTAACTTCTCTGAACCTCCTCAATTTTCTGTAAAACAGGAATAACAAAACCTATCTTGGAAGATAGTTAAGAGGATAATGGCACATAGCAGTCATTCAATAAAGATATTGATTATTATTATTCATGAATTGAAAGTGAATTGTCAGCCAAAAGCAAAATGTACTTCCTTTGAATGGGAAGGAGTTAGGTTCCTGGACTAAAGTTGATTATAGTTACTATCATGTAAATTAAACCATAGTCTGTTGAATTGCAGGGATTCTTTATTCCTATAACCTGTTCCAGTAGGACAGAAACAGTTTGGTATTTTTAGGTGACTTTAGAGTGTAAGATCAATGCCTCATGAGTGGAACTATTACCCCTGAACTGAAAACATTGGGCAACGCCCTCCAAGCAAGTCTCTTAACCACTCTCAAAAATATTGGAGCTGGGAAGCCACTTTCATGCTAAATTTAAAAGACATGCTGATTTTGTTTTGGAAAAATCAATTCATCAATATGTTTTTTTTTTCATGGCTATAAAAAGTATTTTAAAATGAAACAAAATAAAGCAGTAAAAACTCCTGGTATGTATTTTTCCCTTGGAGAATGAGGTACTCATTCAAGTCCTCTTGGAAAAGATTATTTTGTGCTCTGGTCAAGGTGGCCTACTTTCTTTTTGTGTTGAAACGATTTGAAATTAGAAGTTATTTGTATTTTCCCAGGGCATGTCCACTGTAGGAAGAAAGAAAATTATATGCCTGAAGAACATGGTTGGCCAATGTATTGTTTATGTCTACTAGGCCAGAAAGGAAATACATAGAATTCAAGTTTCTTCTTTTTTTTTTTCTGGGAAATATAGTGTTCCATTTGTTTTATGACAGAATAATATCCTTTCCCATGTTTGAGAGTGTTCAAAGGTAATTTTTTGAACATGGCTTGCAATCTACACCAAACCACGTACATGCATAAGAAATGGAGGAAAGAAAAAGAACAAGAAGTCTTTCCTGTACAAGATTTCAATAAATATATGAGTTTCTCCTCTTCTGAAAGATTGCTTCAACACATTTTAATTCCTCTAGAGCATTAATTTTTGAAAATTATCTACAAAAATAATTTTTTTCCTCTGTAATTGTTTCCTATTTGTGTGGACTTGTTGTTCTTGCATCCTGTGTAGAAAAATCAGTATCTCAGCCACCTGGGATAATATATTGTAGGAGACGGTCATCAGGAAGAATGTGTAATCAAAGTTATCCTTAGATCAAAACCAGTTTAAAGTGGACACATAAAATAAATTGGTTTGTAAAATGCAAATGGTAGAGTCCAAAAGGAATCTTTAAATAAAACCTGGTGTTGACTGAATTATTTTATTCATTTGTGCTAGGTGCCCTCTCCTGGTCATAGTGAGTAATGTTTAGTAGCTTACTCTTTCTAGATTCTACATTGCCAAGAAACATATGTGCAATTGTACATATACTCCATGCTAGGCTTCATATAGGAGGGAGAAAAATCTGAAGACAAGTGGCTTTTAACTTTACAAGAGTTAGACTCTTACTTTCGTCCTACACATACATGCTTTTAGTCATCAAGCAATGTTTGATTAGGTTGGTGTGGTGGAGGTAATACTTTGTTAACTGATGTACTCCTTTTTTTCTTTATGACTTACCATAAATCCAAGAAAGTCCTGCAAATGGCCTGTATGCACATGACAGAAATGATGTGTAAAACAAGAATACAGCCTAGAACCTGAGCAGACCAGGGTGAACATCTTCCTTTCCTCCTCATCCTCACTCCCACCACAGCAGTATTACTTTATGTAAGTCCTAGGAGCATCAAACCCCAGAGAAGCAGTGGCCCCAACATCATTGAAGGTTAAAACCAAAATAGCTGTGAAATCACTGAATTTTACTTATTTTATCTTAAGTATTTAGCATAAAAGAATGGGGTCCCAGAAGGAGAAACTTATTACTGAAAAATTGTATCTTTTTATTCTATTTAAAAACTGTGATTGGGGTCAGGTCAGGCACAGTGGCTCACACCTGTAACCCCAGCATTTTGGGAGGCTGAGGTGAGAGGATTGAGGCTAGGAGTGCAAGGCTGCACTGAGCTATGATCATACCACTGCACTTCAGCCTAGACTACAGAGCAAGATCCTGTCTCAAAAAAAAAAAAAGCAACAACAACTGTTATTGAATGATTGACTTAGGGATTCTCATGTCTAATTCATGTCTAATGGGCAACAGAAAAACACAGTTGCAGAACACAGCTTACTGCTTAGCACATCATGGATGGGAGTGACTATAGACGTCCTCTAGCCCAGTTCCTTGTCTGGGATACACTGAATATTTTTAATCTCTTCTGAGCGATGAGGTAAGCATATTCCCCCAGACTGAAAAAAGAATGGGCTTGCTTATTGTTTGCTATAAAAGCAGTGGATTCTCCAAGTTCAGTGTTCCTTAGCTGCGATGCAAACCCACTGTGTGTCCCAAACATCTGAACACATTGGGTCATGCTGGTGGGACTTGAGCAGGAAGAACCTCACACTGCTTGCTGTGTTATGCTTAATAAACTCCTGTGTTTCTGATCCAAGGGTCTACAACTTCATATGAAATCATAACAGTCTGACTTAATAGTTTGTAAGTAGAGTAAAATAAAATTTCAGACCTGACATTAGCCTCTCACAAGGTTGTATTCTTTTTTACTGTACCATTCTATAATTAGTATTTTTACCTTCTTCATATGTTAGATACCAGGCCAGTTCCAAAAGGTAGTTAATTTATCTATTGTTCTATCCCACTTTGATGATGGACTATTTATAGAAATCAATAAATTAAAAAATACTCAGAATATGAAAACATGTTATTTCTAAAAATAAGCAGAAAGCAAAATTCGGCAATATTTTCATAAAGGATGCTATATGCCTTGAGCTGATAAACAAGAAAATAGCTAAAATGTAGCATAGATTTGATAATTGTCTGTTGGAGGGGAATGAAAAAAATATATTTTCACTCAGTGCAGATAACCCTCCCATACTGTTTCTGGTACAAAGGAGGTACTCAATATTTGTTAAATGAATTAACAAACAGAAATTCTCTAAACTTTATTAACTCTGTAATGATGAACCCAAAGTAATTTCTCCAATTCCCATAAAGAACACTATCATGATTAAAAGACTAATAATGGAATGGCTATGAAAAAGGGCTCATTATTTTATGATTTATTTTAATTTTCATTGGATACATACCATGTTAATGATCTTTTATTTTACATTTTAAAATATGAATAAGAGACACAAGTATAATTATGGCTAAAATAAAAAAATAGAAAATGGAGAGAAAAAAACTTTGTACTGTGGAAAACTTCAAACATATATAAAAATAGAATAATATAATGAACCCCCATTTACCCATCACCAGCTTTAATAATTATCAAACACAGCCAATCTCATTTTATCCATACTTCCTACTCCTCCACCTGTCCACTGAATTCTTTTGAAACAAAGTCATGATAGCATATGAGTTTATCTATGAATACTTGAGTAATACCCACATTTTTAATAAAAATGAAATTTCACAGTAAGGATGGATAATTGTCACAAACAACATTTCTCATCAAATAGAAACATAACCACAAACATAATTTCACACTAAAAAGTACTTTATGTCTTCTATATGGTCAGCTTTAACTTCAGCTTAAAGCAGGGACATATTTTAAAGCTTTAAGATCCCTCCTCCTTCTCGCTTGCTTTACTTCAAATTTGTGTCCCTGAATTTAGAATGTGTTAATGACTTAACAAGATCCAGGCTATTAATTGAAACATAACACCATTTCAACTTGAAAGTATTCCGTCAGAAGTGAGAATATTTTCCGATTACCTCCACTTTTATGGTAAAATTATTAATATTTGACTCCCTGTGATGAAAAGTCTAAAAAGAATTAGTATTATGTACTAAATTAGTCATATATTTTTTTTTTTGCAACTCTTTATGACTTGTCAGTGGAAATCATTTCTGGGAGTTATGTTAGCGTGCATGTGCATTTGTGTACACAAACACACACACACACTAAAAATGCCTTAGAATTATAAGAGAATTCTGTAGTTTGTTGTCACACACAGATAGAGTTGTACTTGCTAAAATATTAAGATACATGAGGACAAATAGCTGCTGTTCTAAGCCTTTGACTGTGCTTCTGCTACCTAGGCCACCTAGAACTCTCCGTGATCAGGCAACTAAAAGGTTGAAATTTAGCACAGTAGAGATGGATGGCCCACTTCCAGCATTAGGCAGCCTCCAATCTGATTGAAAGGTGCTTGTATTAGTCAAGATCTCCAGAGAAACAGAACCAATAGGAGGATGTGTGTGTGTGTGTGTGTGTGTGTGTGTGTGTGTGTGTGTAGAGGAGAGAGAGAGAGAAAGAGAGAGAGAGAGATTTATTATAAGGAATTAGCTTATGCATTTATGGAGGCTGAGAAGTCCTGGAATCTTTCTTCTGCAGGCTGGAGACCCAGGAGAGGTGGGGGTGTAGCTCCAGTCCAAGTCTGAAGCCCTAAAAAATGGGAGAAACAATCATATAAGTTCCAGTCTGAGTGCGGGAGAAGACTGATGCCCCAGCTTCAAAACAGGTTGGGCTAGCAAACTCTTCCTTACTGGAGACCTGTTGTTCTATTCAAGCCTCCAATGGATTAGATGAGGCCAACCCATCCTAGGATGGGAAATCTGCTTTACTTAATCTGATCCAAATGATAATCTTTTCTTGAAACTCTCACTCAGACAAAATGTTTAACAAAATATGTGGGCATGTCATGGCCCAGTCAAGTTGACACATAAAATTAACCATCACAGTGTCCCTGTCCCGGCTTTATTGATTGGTAAACAATTTGAAAAATTGCTTATTTAAAACATGGTATAGAACTGATCTTGGGAATTGATAAAAAGTAGGCAAAACAGTGGCAAGAAAATAGGGAATAATTGCAGAAAAGCAGAATAGAACTAACTAAAATGCCAAGGTAAAAGCTTCCTATGTACATTAAAAACCCAGGACTTACTCAATATCTTAAAGCTAGAGGACCAGGTAGGAAATAAATAGATTACAGGCTGAATATCTCTTATTCAAAATGCTTAGGAACAGAAGGGTTTCAGATTTCAGATTTCTTCAGATTTTGGAATATTTGCATATATATAATAAGATATCTTGAGGATGGGACCCCTCTTAACATTAAATTAATTTGTTATTTACGTTATTCATTTATGAAATTTATTTCATACTTATTATGAAATTTATACACCCTTTATTATATACATAGCCTGATCTATTGTAGTTTTACACATTATTTAAATAATGTAGTTCATGAAACAAAGTTTGTATTAAATACTTATGTGTGAAATTTTCCACTTGAGAAGTCATGTCAGTGCTCAAACAGTTTTGGATTTTGGATTTTCAGATAAGGGATGCTCAACCTGTATGAAGACAAAAATAACAAATCATATTAGAGAGTGCCTTACTGAGCACTACAAAGCAGCACATGAAAACTGATTGACTTCATTGATAAAGGATGCTTCTGGTTAACTTTGTAAAAAATTGCTGTGTAATGCAATATGAATTTGCTGGGAATGGTTTTGTAATAAACTCTATTACTTTATGACCAATTCATCAACTTTCCGTACTAACCAGTATTTTCCATTCCAGCACACTGTTGCCCATGGCTTGCTGAATGTTCACTCTTGGCAGCCTTTATTCTGGCAAGCACCTACCAATTGAGATATATGTTGACCAATACCATAACCAGCTGTGTTTATTTCCAAATCAATTTATGCCAGTTGTACTTATAATATTAAATGTGTAAACTAAACACATGTTATATAAATCAATAAACTATGAATGAAAACATTTTAAAAGTTGCTTCTATGAAAATTAAGTGGAAAACTTATTCAAAATCAGATAGAGATGAGTAATTAAAAATTACCAATGAATTACCTGTGGATAGTTAGTGTAAAAAATAGAGTGGAGAATCATCTTACTCTAGAATAATTTTACACTGAAATTGTTTCACAAGTATTTTCAAGAGCTCAATTCACATTAAATAAGTGGATTACATAAAAATTATAAATTATAAATAATACACAGTGAAGTAGTTTATTAAGAATAACATCATGTGTTTAATCATTTGACCTATTGACTTTAAATCAAAAGATTGGTAAGCAAAAGAGCATTCATTTGTATAATTTGCATAATGGTGAATAAATACATATTTTAATTTAAAAGGGAAAGGTATGTATAACTTTCATAAGTAGGTGTTTTAACTGACTTTTTAATTAATGACCAACTATAATTCCTGATTGTGTCAAGATTTCTACTTTATGTGATTATTAGAATCAATTAGAAGTTAAAAGTTAAGTATTATTTCTGTCATTTTTATGTGTTTTTTATAGAACTATATATAAGACTAACAGAATAGAAAAAGAGACTTGTATAAACCTGCTTTGTGTCTCCTTTTCATATACACTATCCATGTTTGAGAAAGAGTCAAAACAAGTGTCTAATTCTCTTGTCCTCCCCTCTATAGGAGAAAGGGTGAGATGACCTGAATCAACAAAGCATCATTATATGTGTTTATTTATTACAGGAGATTTGTATTCTGCACAAGGCAACAGGATCATTTTCCCAGAGAAAGGAGTAGCCATGGTGCTCTAGACTGGGACTCAGGGAGATCAGAGGCATCTGCATGAGGCTGAGGGACCAGGCTCTCCCTGGAGAATTCTGCCTGGGACCACTACTAACACATAGGAATGTGTGGTGCAGTGGTTGTTGGGGGTTGGGGTTGGGGGAGCTGGTAAAAAGCACACAGCACAATTCAAATCTGCAACAAAATGTAGTTTCTTTATATCCAGAAACTGATCTCATCTTATCTTGGAAACCCCATTCCTGCTGATGATAGCAGAAAAAATAATTGTGCTTGCCAATCAAAGGTATATTATTCTCTTAGTTTTAATTTCTTATCAGGATTAGTTCTCAGTTTCAAAATTTCTACTCCCTTTCTTTCTGTCCAAACTGACCTCTGGATATAAGTGGAAGCAAATGCATTTTTGTAGCATTTGGGGAGGGTAATCTCTTCCTCACCCATCCTCTGGTCTTTAGCATTTTCTGAGATGCCCTATTTTGTCCTTACTGGGAGGGATAGGCAGACTTGCTAGTGGTGGCTGTCCTTGTCCGGACTGGTGCTATGCACTTGTACTGAAATTCACACATAACTGGCCATGGACTTCATCATTGCCTTTTTGTGCATTAACCCTTGTACCACATACTTCCTTGGGCGGCAGGTCTGGCACCTCAGTGCCCCACAGGGAAGCCCAGAACATTTGCCTGCTTCCTCCACATTTTGCTGCAGCATGCAGGATTCTGTGAGATAGTTCAAGGCCTTTCTCTCAGCGATTGCTATTCTATTCAGACACCAAGACCAAACAGAACATAGGTCTTTGCTAAGGAATGTAGTCTCACAGACTGGTTCTATGGACACAGTCCATTAGCCCCAGTGCCCTTGAATTGTTCCTGTTTGGTATCTTTCTACTCATCATCACAGGGACTTTGGTACTAAGAGAGGAGCTAGGACACTTGTATATGACCTCTTGCCAAACCTTCACCCTCTCTTGGTCTGCTTCACAGCAATTAGAAAAATCTTTTTTTTTAATTTCTGTTAGATGAAGTCTTTCCCTACACCATATCTTCGTTCCTTTCTTTACTGTGGCTTATAATACTTAGGTTCACACTCCCATGTTTTGATCTTGATATATAAAGAAAAGTTTGGAATTTCTTTTTTTGAAAAGTTTTTGTTTCAACAGGGTCTGAATTTTAATGCTGTTGTTTCACAAAATATTTTAAAAATCTGATTTTAGACTCAAATCTGAAGAGTGGCATTTTTGATCTATACATTATTTTCCTGGAATAATAAAACTCTGAGTCTGGCCTTAATTATTGAAGAGCAGTAAGGGAAAAGGGAAAACTGTATTACTGTAAGGGAAAATATATCAAATATTAAAATTCCCATTAAATAAATTCTTCCCTGGTGAGATACAACCCACTGCCTTCTTCAAGCCCTGTTGTTTCTATCTGGCTACACAACTGCCCAAAGTCATCCTTTGTTCTAGTCCAAGGTACAGCAATAAAAAATCCCTAGGAAACTGGGTTCCTGAGTGTGCTAAAAGGGAACTGAAACAGTGAGTGATAAAAACACCAGAAGGTAGAGTCTATCCGATGTGAGATATGACTGATGGATTCTGAAAGCATTACCTCTTACATAAGCTTTCTTATTCTAGGACTGGGAAAACAGGGCAGTGTGGCCCTTTATGCTCAGTCCATCCCCTTCCTGATCCTACACATCTCTCTCAAGTGTCAAACACAAAGTAGCTTAAGAACCTCTTCTTTGTCTCTTTTGCTCATTAAATTACAGGCCTAAAGAAAACAGTGCCACAGATGGGTGTTTTCTCATATAATATGACAACAATTTCACTGGGTCTTTTCCAAAGAGAAATTGACAGACACACTGGTGATCCAGCATTCCCTCAACTATAAATACCATGAAGTCAACAAGATGATGAGACGCCTCCACTTGGATATTGATTGCGTTATGGTTTTGAATCCTACCAGGCCCCTATGGCCAGTGACACTGTGATTATTACTGGTAAAGATGTAGTTTTAAAACAGTGAGTTGAGAATATCATTCTATAAATTGGCATTTGAACATATAAGCTGAATATAAAGAACCACAAAACTTTACTATACATCTAGTAGAATAACTAGAATTACAGGTATAATCACATCAATGTTGGCAAGGAAGTAGAGGAAATTTAGCTCTCATATATTGCTGTTGGCAATGTAAAATGGAAACCACTTTGGAAAGCAATTTGGTAGTTTCTTAAAAAGATTAACATACACCTATCATATGATTCTGCCTTTCCACTCCTAGATATTTACCCAAGAGAAATAAAAGCATATGCCCATACAAAGACTTATATACAAATGTTAGCAGTTTTATTGATAATAGCCAATAACTGGAAGCAACCTCCAAAATCTATCGACAGGTGAATGGATTAACAAATTTTGATATAGCCACACAATGGCATACTACTCAGCAATAAAAAGTACTGAACACAACATGGATGAATCATAAAATCGTTATGCTGAGCGAAACGGGCCAAACAAAAAAGGTTACATAATATATTATTCCAATTATAAAAAATTCTAGAAAATACAGACTAATCTATAGTGTCAGAAGGTTATCTGTGTCCCTCTGGGGATGGTGAGGTCAGGTTGGGAGACAGGCGAGAGAGATAAATAGGCATGGCGAAACTTTCAGAGGTGATCAGTGTGTTCACTATCATGATTATGGTAATGGTTTCATGTGTACATACATTTGATACACCATTATGATAACAAAGTCTGCCTCTGATTTAATAAAAACACACATGCTTGTCATTCTCAAAAATGAAAGTAGAGAAAAATCCCCTCTTGCTATACATGTATTAAAGGCATTTTATGTATGCATTTCCGCTTTGTTTTTTGAAAAGGTTGAGAACAGCTAATTTGTTCTCAAAATTTTCTGTCTTTTGCACAGGCCAAATAATTCTAATTCTTTAGGATTTTTTTTTTTTTATAGTATTCAAGAATAATAGGTTGTGTTCACTTCTCACAGGTCTTTGAAGTAAAATGTCATTTGAAAAAAGAGCTTGTTTGCTAACTTTGTATTCTAAAACCACTGACTTGCTAAACGTTGAACATGTTTTAGCTGATGCATTCAATATGTGAGCATACAATGTGGCACTTATAGGCAAAATCTAGATACTCTGTGTCTATGACCAGAACATCATCACTATTATAAAATAGCCAGCCTCCATATAGCGGGTGTTAGGAAGCAGAGAAGAGCATTTGATTTTTATCTGGATGATTCTAGAGACAGGCAGCATACATTTGAGTAGTTAATTGATTCAGCGGATTTCCTTCTGCTAGCACATTGAATAATGACTCTGGATCTCCCGAGCCTTAGAGTATCTGTTCTGCCTTTTCTCTTCACACACTCACCAATCCCCAGCTTTAATAAAAGAGAATTTCTCTCCCTCTGACACTACTAGAATGCTAGATAAATGACATTTTGCTACCCAAAACAATTTTATAAGGGGTTAGGAGTTTATGCTTATTTCTAAATTCCAATGTCAAAAATCTATTTTCAAATTCACAAAAATAGATTAAGGCCTATTAGACATAAGCTGTCACATTTAATACTATTACAAATCAGATAATTTTTTTAAAAAAATGTCTTTACCATCAAAGAGTATGAAATTTAGCTAAGGGTGAAAAAGAACAAAATTTCAACAAGTTGTGTTGAAAAGATCAAATTGTTTTTTATTAGTGTTTTGTGAATCAGGCAACATTCCATCTACAAAACAGAAAGGCACTCCAATGAGCTGAGCAGAGGGAGTAGGCTTTATAGGCAGAAAGACTGAAGAACATAAAACAAGAAACAAAATGTGGATTCATTGTTTAAAAGTTACTTTCCTTATAGGGTTAAGGAAGAGAGAGTTTCCTTATCATGCCAGCTTAGGATGACTGGACCTGTTTGGATTGGTTGCTGAAAATCTGGTTTGTTTTTGTTGTTGTTCAAACTGGCTTTTTAAAAGCCATGATCAGTTTGATTATGTGGCACCTAGCACGCATGACTCCATTCCGGGTTGGGCTGGTCTCTTGGGGCCTTGCGTACAAGCTGAGTTCAATACAATGCCATCTCATAAATTTAATTTAACAGGGGTAAATTGCAAACATTTTAAATGAGAAAAATAAAAAATGTTCGTTACAAGTGGAAGAAGTACCTTTCACAAGGCAGTACATGATTAAGTATCCAATGAACATCCCAGAAAATGGCCGCTGTGGGAGATCAGAGGTTCATTATAACTGGGACTAGTGGGGGAAAGCTTTTCTTCGGAGTCAGACTGAAGCTTGGTCTTAGAGGGTTGTGTAACATGCACCAAATGTTTGGCTAGACCAAGGAAACACACAATTGCTTTTAATAAATCGCTGGGCTGCCATTCTCTGTTGGGAGAGTCAATATGTTCAGGGAAGGCACTCTGCCAGTAAAGTCCAACCCCTGAGCTAATGATGCTGACTGCCCTGCCAGTGGGTCACCCTGCTCCCAGGCCAAACACACAGTGTGACTGGAAGTCTCAAAGGATCAGTCAGAAATAGCTCACTTGTCGGAACTGGGGTGTGTTTGTGGAATGGTTTGTTGAAGCACCTGTGCCCACCCGTGTCTGGACATAGTTATTAAGTCTCTCGTTTTCCCAAGTGGTGAACTTGTTCACAGATGTTACTGGCGGGAAAGAAAATGTTCAGTGTTTATGCAGTGAGTCTGCTCTGAAGAAGCCATTATGCTTAACTAAGGAAATGCCATAGTTATTTTGGTATTCATTTAATTTTAGACGTCTTTATTATTTGCAGGGCTGACCAAAAGACTTAAAAAAATCCACAAACAACAAATTCTTGTTTAATACGGTGGATGTTACTGGTTTCTGGAAAACAAAAGAACAGTCAATTACTCTTGCACCCACCCAAGAAGCTAAACATCTTCCTAGTATTGACCAAGAAATCTGGTGACATAAACCTTTACTTTATTCCAAGCTAGAACATCTACCTCACAAAATAGGTCTGCCAGAAGTTTCTCTCTATTCCTAACACGTCTGAAAACAGCAGCAAAGAGCCGACAATGATAAAAGAAGGGTGAGAGGAAGTTTCCATGATCGATCTCTCATTGTCAGTCAAGAAATTTCCACCTCATAAAAATTATCTGTATGTCTTTTTAACTTAAGCCTTTTCTGAGCTGAATAAATAGAGGACAATGCATTTGGGTTCTTTACTTCATCCTTCTTAATGCCCAAGAAAATGTTTATTGCCTGTCAGGAAATAAAGACAAAGGAATAGTAATTTATAATTTTTTTCACATGTGTGTAACTTGTATCAGTTGGAGAATTGAAGTAATTCTACAATCAGCTGAAGTCGCCTTAGATTAATTTAATACAAGTTGCTTTAGACAGCTCTCTGGGGATCCTTTCTTATGGCTATGTTGGGGAACTGAGGTGGGGCCGGTGTCTTATTTTTCTTACCTGGTCACCTCTGACCTTAAGTTGCTATTTCTATTGAATTTCTAATCTCTATGCTTCATTCCATCTGCTGAATATGATACTGACCCATACTGCCCCAGATACCATTGACCCATAGCTATGTGTGGAGGAGAGTTGTTTTTAGAGCCCCTAGCTAAACTGTGGTTCCAGTACCAGAGAGGCTAGCAATCCTGCCCTAACAGGAAATGAAAAGGAGCCTTTCATAGAACACTTCTTTCACCTACCAGATGGCTTAATGCCTAGCTGTCTGACCTGAGACCAGGATGTCCCTCACATGGGGAACTTGGTTATATTGCCAGATATCCTTGAGACTTTTGCCTGGCCTGTGTCCAGTTTATGCCTACTGACCATGGCCTTAGCACTGGGAGCCTGCTGTTGTGTTCATCCTGGCCTCCCTTGGAAAATCCAGTCTAGGGTAGTCGCTGGTTCTTCAGATGGAAGGTGAAAATTCAATACACCAACACAAAAAGAAACAAAGTCAAAGCTTTTTACTTACAGACCTTGGGCAGGGAGGGTGCCATGAATCTGGAGGGCAGCTCTCCGTCCCTCGATCATGTGAGGCAGGAATGAAAGGTCAGGCAGAGAGAAAGAGAGAGTGGCAGCTAGCAGAATATGGGTCACTTTAAGTTCATGGGCAAATGCCTGAGTCGTTTATTTAAAGGAAGTGGCGGGAAAACAGGGGGCCCAGTCTGGTAGGCAGGAGAGATGCCTCTAAGTTCTTATCTCTGGCCACCAGCTTTAGCCATTGGGTGTGGTGGTCTATTTCTAATGCCCAGGCAGCAGCCCTTGCTGTGTTGTTCCATTCTAGGTTTCCTGAAGATTTGTAACAAAAAGTATCAGTGGGAGGAGGTGGAGCATTGAATATTAGGTATTCGTTTTTGAAAAAACACTTCAGACATTTCTGTAGTCAACAGTCCCTCTTTTCTAACAAGATTCTAGCTTCTCACCACACTGCAATTTTCATCTCTCTGTTCCGATCCCCTTGCCACTTTGTGAAAGTTTTACTCACCTCTAAGTCCAAGATTCCCGTGGAGTAGTTTCTCTGTCTCTCAAACTTTACCCAGACCAGTCCTATACAACAGAACTTTCTATGATGATGGAAATGTTCTGTAATCTGTACTACACAATATGGTAGCCACTAATCATATATGGCTATTAAGCACTTAATGAATTAAATGTGACATTAGATTTTAATTAATTTACCATGTACATTTCAATAGCTCTATGTGGCCAGTGCTTGTTACATTGGATAAAACAGCTCCCTACCATCCAATGTTGACCAAGAGAGGCAACTTCTTCCGAACTAGACAGACCTATTCACATGTGTTTCTCAATAAAGGTAATTCTTTCCCTGACGGAAACAGGTTTTTCCCCCCCTGCTTGCTAAATATCTAATATGGTCTGTGTTCATATGCATAAAATAGCTAATAAAATATTGAAACGACCCTCAGTTTAGACTTGAGTATTCTATTCCCCTCAACCTTGTTTTCTCAGATACATCCTTTTAAACATATGCTATACATTCATTTAATGCCAGTGTACCAATAAAAATTAGTACATCTTGATTCTGTATCGAAGTACATGACAATTAACTTCTTAATATAGCCAGAAACTTTAGTATATCTAAGTCATGATTTTAAAATATATCATTTCTGTCTCTAAATTTTAGGATACACTTCAGCTATATAATTTTGCTTTGGTAAGTTGCATCCAAGGAAGTTTGGCATTCTATACTATGGGATCATATGCTCAATTTTCAGCTTAATATCCTTTCCTCTCAAAGGGTAGAATATGCCTCTGCTATTGTGGTGTCATGCAACTAATTGTTATTGCTTTTGGTATAAAGAACAAGCTTTGGAGTTCTTTCAGAGGAAGTTTTACTTATCCCAAGAGTACACATTTTGTTTTACAATACATATTTGCCTTCTACATCCCTTTCTTTAAAATGTTTATTACAAAAGCTAATATTAAACAGATGGGCTTTATTTTTGTGATTGAGTATGCATTTAATAGAGGCTGTGAACACGTCCCTTCATGAAAAGATTGTTTTGCTTTTGAGCCAAAGCTTGATATATTTCCTTTCTGAAACACTCCTCTGTTTAGCTATTTGCTTGTTCTACCTTTAAATTTATTCTGCATTTCGCATCGAATGATTTAGGTGTTTCACATAGAAAGTGAGCATTTCTATTTACAAAGACCAGAGAAGAATTGTACACACTGATGCATTTCCCACTGTGCCAGCATCACTACCTTCCAGGTGTGCCTTCCTCACCACGTATGGAACAGTTCTGCTGTCCACATTCTGTTGGGCAAAAAGAGTTCTGCAAAAGAAACAATTTTTATTGAATTAGCAATTTATTTCCTATTAACTAATCACATGAAGTAAAATCTCTTTTTGGATCCAGTCAATATTGGTTTTCATTCTTTGTATCTTATCTCTTAAACTTTGGATCACAAAGGTTAGACCAACTCTTATTTTGTCACCCATAATGCAGATTCTATTGCATTTAAAGTTACAAATATCATTATTACATACTTTATATAAAAGTAACATAATCACATGAATAGAAATATAAACCAAAAATACCACAATTCTTTAGTTAAATGAAATCATTATTTCTTTTCATACAAACATTTTCACATACTTACAATAATGATGTCCACATGATTTAGTATCTTACTTTGTAATTGACTAACATTTTATTATAAGGAGTTTCCATGTTGTGACATAGTCTCCTCAACCCTCCTTTTTTATATCCATCGTTTCAATGGCTACATATTATTCCACTCAAGCATAATTCTATAATTAATTTAAACATTCCCCTATTTAGGAACATTTGGAATACACTGATATTTGATAAGATAAAGAAGACTGCTAGGCACATCTTTGTGCTTATAGTTTTTTACATATTTTGTTTCACCTAATAGTGAGATTGTCTACATATTTCTAGGTAATGTATTAATCTACCTAGATCTATATATAACAGAGTAGATCTCTCTGTATCTCTTATTGCTTTCCTACAACAGTTAAATTTTGAAACCCTAACATCGGGCAAGGGTAAAACCAGTAAGTACATTATAAAGAGACAATCTTCTACAATGCTAAATATATTAACTAATTTATTCAAAATATGCTTTTGAGCAGTACTACGGATACTATTCCTGATGTACTAAGAAGGCAAGAGTGACCAAGTACCTTGGTATACTGGGCTGCTCTAGCAAAATACCACAGACTGGATGGTCCAAGGTTAGGGTGCCAGCATGTTTAGGTTGTGGTGAGGGCCCTCTTCTGGGTTGCAGGCTGTTTTCTTATTGTGTCCTCACAGAGTAGAAGGAGCAAACAAGCTTTTTAAAGTCTATTTTAGAATATAAGGGCAATAGTTACATTCACAAGAGCTCTGCCCTCATGACCTAATCACCTCCCCAAAGGTCCCAAACCTCCTAAAATACTGTGGGGCTTAAGATTTCAATATATAAATTTGTAGGTCAAGGTGGAGGTGGGACACACAAACATTCAGACCATAGCACCAAGGGAGCCACTGTCTCTGCCTTGTTGGGGTTTTCCTTATTATGGGTAGTACAGACTAGCCTACTGAGTGACCAGTACTTTGAGGAAGTAGAGGTCCTATGGAAACACATAGAAGAAACTGAATCCCCTCCTCATAGAGCCTTGAATGACTTCTTAGAGGAAGTAGCATTGAAATAAAGCATAATCAATGAGGAATTAGTCAGCAACACTGTAAGATGGGATAGAGAAAGGGGGATGAGTGCATTTCAGGAAACCTAATGGCACGTGAAAGCAAAGGGACATATATGTATTAGAGGAACTGAAAGAAGGCAGTATGCCAGGAGAAGAGACTGTGTATAGGACCATTGAATGTTTCTTTTGCATTTTGCCTAATGTTCATCAGCAATCACATTTAATGCATAATCTTAGATTAATTGATTGAGTTTATCATCAAAACTGCCTTTTCGACAGAAGTCATCCCATTCCAATACAAGGCAATGTATTAGAGGTCAGTTAAACTGCGTCTTCGCCAACATCAGATGGTATCATTCAGGTTACTTTAATAGCAGGATAATAAAAAAGATGTATCATTCATGTTTATAACAAGCATTGTAAGGCCTATGGAGTGATTTAAGGGAAACCCCCAGGGGAGATCTGTTCAAAGAAATCTTCCATAATTCTTTTCCTGAACACTGAGATTCCTATTCTTTCTCCTTTGGCTTAAGGTATTGAAGGCCCTTGTAAATTTACAAATTTATTAGTTGGAATAATAACATATTCAATTCCTTTTGACCACGAACACTTTGTAATACGTTTTTTTTTTTTCATATTGATTAGCAAAGACCTTTGTCTTTAAAGAATAGATCACAGTGGAGTTAAATTTTGATGATAAATTTTGAGATGGAATTGAGTCCGAATAAGAATTTCTCCTTGGAAAGTGAAAACTTAGATTGGACTTACAGAAGACTTGGAAAGCAAGATAGAGAGTGGAAAGGGGCTATTACCTTCAAAATGTTATAAACTGTCTCTAAATCATACCCTATTCACATTTTTTCCTAGTTCCAACACTGTCCAAAGTAGTAATTCTAGAGGAATATGAAAAATAGCTTTGAAAGATACCTTTTTTTGAACATCAAAGGTGATAACTTTTAGCTGCATGACCAATTTCTCAATGTAATATAGACAAACAGAATCATGGTTTCCTTTCTACTCTGGCTATTAGACCACACATTAGTAGGTATGACCTGTATCTGAGAAAGTCATAAAAAAAAAAAAAAAAAAAAACCCTGCACAAAGTAGGGAGGATGGCGATTAACACAGTTGGCAGCAAAATTAGGAGGAGTCATTTCATTTTGATTTTGTTCTAGCAATCATGATTACTAGCATTTCTAGTCTTACATGGCATTTGCAATTCACTGTTTAAATTCTGTGGCAGTTATTTGGCTCTTTAAAAATATTCTCATTCTCCTCCTTCTGGGCATGTGGTTATTGTGATTCCCTAACTTTCATAAAGTTGTAACTTGCTTTGGCTAATGGGAAGAAAAGGAAAGTGAGGTGTATCTCTTCCATGTGGAAACATTAGCCAGTGGAAGATGAAATCCAATGGACTTGCACTGAACCATATCCATTCAATAGCCAGTGGAGAATGTGGAAATGTTAAGGAGCTGACCACAAAGTTCCATATCTGTCTTTGGATGTCAGATGAGGCAGACATAATTTTGTATCTAATTTAAGCTACTATTGTTTGTTTTTCACAGCAGGTAAGATTGTAACTTAACTAATACTAGGAGAAAATCAAGATGTGAGAGAGAAAGCTATCAAAGAGTTGGACAGAATTGGAACTATCAGAACTTTGGGGGTAAAATATTCTTAAAGATAGAGCAAACAAATTCAAAATGCATTGTTAACAAAGTTATATTCACCCCGTATTTGTTTAATATTAGGAGAAGCAAGTGTCATGCTTTTCCAAAATAGTACACATTAGTTAATTTACTATAATTCTGCAACCCATACCTTCAGTATTAGATACCAAAAAATGCCTTTGGATGCCAATGAGTTTCAGCAGCAAACTTCACTTTATG